TAACAAACTAAAGCAAATTAATTGTGCAACGTTAGTTTAACATGTTTGTGGTGAGTTTGTGTTATAAATTGTTTTTGTGTTTGTTTTGATTTTGGTTTTGCTTCACTTTTTCAAATGATTTAAGACCTTTCAAGGTAAAAAGAGTCTACAAAACGTGTATTGTTGGCATAAAAATCATTTCAAGCTTCGTTGAATTTATTCATTGTCTTCTTCGTTATTGTTGTTGTTGTTATTATTATTGTTTTTTCTTTGTTTCTTTATTTTTGTTTTGTTTTTTTAAATTAGTACCGTTATATTTAGAGTATAAAAATTGAACTAGAATTCCACCCAAAAATTCTAAATTGAAATAAAAATTTCACTGCTGATCAATTCAACAGATATGGAAAAAAAACCCAGTTAGCCCAAAGGCCTTAGCCGCCTGTGCTATAATTATTTTAAGTTCGTTGTAGCTGAATTAATACATAAAAAAAAAAAATTATAATAATATTCTTTTAAAACCTAGATAGTTAATATTTTAATATTAATATTAAAATTTATATATATAGAAATCTTATTTGTATATATGTATGAATTTCCTGCGTTACTGTCTGGCTCAACTAATTAGCATGTTAACAGCTTCATTTGAAATCTGCGCATAAAATTGCATTTTAAGTTTTGCTTCTGTAGTAAATAAACTGAAAAATATTAATTAGTAAATTCATTTGTATCTTAACACTGCGCTAAGATACTCGCACACAATCCGTTTCAGACGATGATGTCAGCAGTGACATTTCAACCGCAGCTTGCGTTTCAACAGAAAAGATTGTTTGTTTAAAGTAAAGTAGACTTTACGTATGTATTTTGGCAGTGAAGTATAATTAAAGAAATTAAAAATTTTTTAGATTTTATGCTTAATTAAATTTATTCACAAATTATTATTAATGAAAAAATTTTTTTTCTAATTTTTCAAATTATATTTAAAACATCGACTTTAATAACAGTACTATTAAAAACAATAAATAAAAATATTTGATATAAAAAAACAATAAACACAGCAAAAAATACACAAAAAATGAAAATTAAGAAATTAAAATTTAAATAATTAATAAAAAAAAATTTTAAGAGAAAAAATTTTTATTTTTTATAATTTTTATAAATTTGTAGATTATAAAGTCTTTAATTTTATCAAATAAACTGCATATAAACACACTGCCCATGCGCATAATGCTTCCAATTTATACACTGAATGTATGCCTCAGGTCTGACTACATTGAAGTGATTTTCGGTGCACAAGGCTGTCACTTCAACCTAATCTAATCTACCAAATATAATATAGTATATATAAGTGAAATAATTGCAATATTTTGATTCTAAAAATTAAACACACGTCTCACAGCAAATATAATATTTTGGTTATTAAAATATTGCTTTAGAATGCATTAGCAGTAGTTATTAACTGCTTTTGATATAAAAACACTATGAAACGTTTTTATTGATTGGTCAAATTAAATCAATGAACTTTAATAAAATTGAGCGCCATTCTATGTATACTAAAAAGAACTTACTAACTTAGGTGGTCATTACAAAGGTCAAACGTCCTTGGCCGCGTCAAATAGCCTCCGCCAGCTAACCAGATCAGTGAATTGCTTTTATCAGTAGGTGGTACAGAGTGCTTTTATGCGGACGTTG